TTAAGGCACGCACCACTCCCAGATGCTGTCGTGTTTATAAATTTGTACTCATTGGTGGCCTGTTGCCCCTGTGGGAATGGAAGGCTCCACAAGGCCTGGACATTGCCTGTCTGGTTCCCACTGTATCCCCAGCACCAGGGCCCAGCACATGATTGGCACTCACTGAGTATTTCTTGAGCGAATGAACGAATGAATGAATTTGTACTGGCCACCGTGGTAAGCTCACTTAAGTCTCCCAACAACCCCTGGAGATGAAGCCCCATTTTTCAGGTGAGGGACCTGAGGCTCAGAGGGTGAGTGGTGGGGCTGGGGGATATAGCTCCTTTACTGATCAGGCCCCCCATCTGGGGCCCAGCAGACGGGTGTGACCAGGGCCCCGTCCCCTAGGAGTCATGCCCCAGTGTCCCAGTGACCTCACACCACTTTCTCCCTAGGGTTGGGCAACAGCCCTTCTTTGTCCCGTGGGTATAGCCATGCGTACCTGCTTCCGCAGCGCCCTGGGACTCCAGCCTTCGCTAGCACTTGCTTTTTGTCCTAGTGGCCGAGGGACTGGCTGCCTGGCTTATACTTCATGGACCAGCCACCAGCAGGAATGTGGCGGTCTCCCACCTCTGGGGGTAGGGCTGGGGTCTGCAGCCTGGGCAGTGTAGCAGGTGGCCCTAGAGGACAATGGTGGTCTCTTGCCAGAGGCTCTTCTCCCTAGAGCCACAGTTGGCCTAGATTAGTGGATCAAGTCAAGGGGAGAGCAGAGTGGGCTGAAGGATGAAATGAAAAGCATGAGAGGGAGGAGGGAGACTTAGAATCCACCCCAGAACAAGGAGAAAGGCCTCCTTTGCTCAGACGACCTCACAGTAAATTTTCAGTGATCCAGTTGCGGGACAATGAGAGAAAGAGCGGTATCAGCAGGTTCCAGGTGCTTAGGCTCAGCCTGGGGTTTGGATTTTGAGGGTCAGCAGAAGGCAGACTTGAACAGAGGTTAGTTAAGACTACAACTTGGACTCAGAGTCTGAGTCCAGGATCTTTAGCAGCTGAGCGACTTAGAGCATATTACTTAATCTGCCTGGGCCTCAGCTTGCTTACCTGCGAAATGGGATAAAACTAAGGATCGCAGTGGGTGTTTGGAATGAGAAGGTGATAATGTTTGAAGAGAGGGCTGTGCCTGGGTGGTGGTGTTATCAGTAGTAATGATGATCAGTGACTGCTTGGTTTGGTGACAGATTGGTAGAGGAAACGGGAAGACCCCAGGAATTACAGACTGTAGGTTATCATTTGATGCCTCCCTTTTTCTACCTGTGCAGCAATCACTCCCTCTGTGTGGGAAGCTAGGATCACGGGTTTGCATGAGCTTGGCTCCTTGGCCTGGGAAGCACTGATCTGCAGATGGCCGTGGAGGGTGGCCAGTGCAGTGGGAGTGTCCAGACAGCCTGTGTAGCAGACGGAGTGCGGAGGGGTGAGCTGGAGCTGGCCGACACGGTGGGGAAGGGCATCCCAGGGAGAGACCAGCCTGTCATAAGGCCCAGCACGTCCTGTGGCTGGTGAATGATCAGCGAGTGACTCGGGGGAGACAGGAGCTCCCTCTGCACGAGCCAGAGGACTCCTGTGAGGGTGAGGAACATACGGGATGGTCCAGGAGTCTGGAACAGATACACGTAGGAGCCCTGAGACTTCCAGCCTGGGAAGCTAGCTGGAGGCTGCTCAGGGGCGTGGGGAGGGTGTGGGAAGGGCATGGGGAGGGCGACCAGGGCCTCATGGCAGGAGGGTTGAGTGGGATCACCCTGTGGACTGTGCAGGTGTGCAGGCCCTAGGCATGGAGCGGAGGCACGAGGCTGGGGCACAGCTTCTCACCTGCAGCCCTGACCAGAGGCCTTTGCCCAATAAAAGCAGCCGTCCCCGTTGTGGTGGGGCCAGGCCCCACATACCCACCAGGTACTTGCTGGACAGGGAGAAGATTGGTAACTTTACAGAGTAAACCTTAAATAGATTGAATGATGATAATGATAGGTATTGCTATAGTAATAATTATTGTTACTCCTCTTACCACTGCTGTTACCCCTTTGAGCATATTACTGTGAAATTCTCAGTGCATTTCACATCTGTAATCCATGTCCCCTCAGGAGGGTTTTCGTTTCCATTTTACAGATTAAGAACTTGAGGCCAGGGATGTTGAAATGTCTTGCCCAATAAGGTCACCATTGCAGGAACTTGGCAGGAAGGGGACTTGCCAAGGGGACTTCCTTGGGAAGGGGACCCCTGGGGGAAGTGGACTCTGGGGGCCACAAGACCCACCTGGTCGGGATGGGATGGTTTTGGAAAGGGCCTCTCAGTGCTTCCTGTCTGTGCCTTGTCTTAGACTGAGTTCCCAGGATTATTTTGAATTCTCCTTGGAGCAGTGATCCCCAGTCTTCTTGGAGTTGCAACATCCTTCCGTGGTACAATTTTGCAATAGCTGCAACTCCCCCAGAAAAGTGTAATTTCCACTGATTCCTCTAAATTAGAGTTAAGGAAGATAGTTGTTTGGAGAGGTTTGTACAGGCACCTGGGTGGCTCAGTCGATTAAGGGTTTGACTCCTGATCTTAGCTCAGGTTTTGATCTCTGGGTTGTGAGTTCAAGTCCCACGTTGGGCCCCACGCTGGGCATGAAGCCTACTTTAAAAAAAAATTATATAGGGCGCCTGGGTGGCTCAGTTGTTAAGCGTCTGCCTTTGGCTCAGGTCATGATCCCAGCGTCCTGGGATCGAGCCCCGCATCGGGCTCCCTGCTCAGCGGGAAGCCTGCTTCTCCCTCTCCCACTCCCCCTGCTTGTGTTCCTGCTCTCGCTCTGTCTCTGTCAAATAAATAAATGAAAATCTTTAAAAAAAATCATATATATTTAAAAAAATTTTTTAATTAAAAAAATTATATATATACACACATATATACATACATATATGGGGGGGCAGGGAGAAGTTTGTAGCTGTACTGGAGATCAGGTGCCCTGGTGACAGCATTGTACTTGGAAGAAGGTCTTGGGTTCCATCCCTGCCTGCTGCTCTTTGCCATGTGACTTGGGCAAGTTTGGCCCCCTCTCCGGGCTGTGAGTTTCCCCATCTCTCTCATCTCTGCCATGCTGTGACTCATTATTTTTCTACTGTGGGGGCTGTCTTACCAATTCTGCTTGGGGTGGAACTGCCAGGTACTGGAGAGAGAGGGAGAAGGTTCGTTCCTGGACACAGATGGAGCCAGGCAACTGTCACAGCTCAGGTGGGCAACATGATTCCCTACATCCAGTGAGCAGAGCCTGTTGCAGGTTCTTAACTTCCCAGCTTGTGTCCCCTTTCCTGGTGACAGGTGCTGACTTCTCTTTGAACTGCAAGTTGGAAGAAATTTATCATGGGATCATGTGCCTTAAATGAGTGGGTTTGGAAGGAGAAGGCAGAGGAGGAGGAACTCTAGGCAAGAGAATCCCCGATTTCCAACCTCCCTGGTGAATCACGGAACATTGGGCTAAGTCACTCATGGGGGTGGAAAGATTGGGCGAAAAATTAAGGAACTTAGGGCCAGGTTTTTTTTTTTTTTTTTAAAGGAGCAAATTATTCAAAATCCTTTACCCGATAGATTATATCTAAAGTTGATTTCTTCCTTTTTTCCACAGTACTGTTTTATCCATCTTGAATGATTTTGTAATCTATAAACCTGTCTTTTAGTTCTCTTGGTTTCAGTTAAGAAATATTTTAGCGGGGAGGGAAGGTGCCGGTGAGTTCTGAGATACTGTGGGGGTCTGCAGACGTGGCCATGGGTGCTCTTTGAGGCTCAGATGCCATCCTTGGGTCCTGAGCCCTGGTGTCTCTCACCCAGAGCTCCTGCCGGCTCCACCATGAGGTCTGCAATTATTTAAGGAAAGCTCACATCAAGTGGAAAAAGAGCGACCACACTAACCGAATCATGTGGCCAATAGGCAATTCAACACCAGAGCCACCCAACCCCCTCAAACCCTCACCAGCTGCTGGATTTTGCAGCCGCATGGATTAGGTGACCGCGGGCCTGACGGGCAGGGCCATGTGCATACGCTCGTTGCCTGCGCCGGCAGCTTGGCCCGCTTCAGCCTGGGAGTCTGGATCTGCCTACATCCAGGGGCAGCTCTCTTCTGAGCCTCACAGAGCAAGTTAATTTAAAAGCCGTTTTTTTCGGGTTATAAAGGAAGCTAAAGATTATGAGATTGAAAACAATTTTTTTTAAAGATTTTATTTATTTATTTGAGAGAGTGAGAATGGAGAGAGAGCACGAGAGGGAAGAGGGTCAGAGGGAGAAGCAGACTCCCCGCCGAGCAGGGAGCCCGATGTGGGACTCGATCCCGGGACTCCAGATTCATGACCTGAGCCGAAGGCAGTCGCCTAACCAACTGAGCCACCCAGGCGCCCGAAAACAACGGTTTTATATTACTATAACTCAGACTCTTATTTAGTTGCTCCATAATTTGCTGTTAACCCCAAAATGTTTTGAAGAGATAACTTCTTGCCTTAAATTCCTTTTTTTCATTTTACATTTTGGTTGTTGGGTCAACAGATGTTATATGTGTGTATATATATATTTAAATGAACATTAACATTTTTTTACTAAGAATTTTTTAAAAAGTAATATTTAAAAAATTTCCAACATTTGGAACTAACTCGTCAGAAGAAAATGAAGTCACCCTCATTCTGTAATCTCTTAAGAAACAACCAGGGGCGCCTGGGTGGCTCAGTTGGTTAAGCGACTGCCTTCGGCTCAGGTCATGATCCTGGAGTCCTGGAATCGAGTCCCGCATCGGGCTCCCTGCTCAGCAGGGAGTCTGCTTCTCCCTCTGACCCTCCCGCCTCTCATGTGCTCTCTCTCTCTCATTCTCGCTCTCAAGTAAATAAATAAAATCTTTAAAAAAAAAAAAAGAAAGAAACAACCAGTCTTAGCAGTTTGGTGTGTTCAAATGCCTTTCAACTGAATACGAGATTGTCTGTTTTATTTTCATATAAATTGTATTTTCTTAATAAGCAGCAGGTATTAATTTATTGAAACTTGAGGGAATACAAATAGGTAAAAGAGAAAAAAAAAGTAATCCCAGCACCCAGAAATAACCAGTCAAAAGCAGTACCTTTTTTTTTTCCCCCCTTTAAAGTAACATTGTAGGGTTTCACCTCCAGCCAAGCTGCCCTCCTTGGGCACACTCTCCCTGCCTTTCAGCTGGCTGTGAGCTGATTTCTGCCTGTGACCTTGAGAGGGAGAGAACCTCAGCTCCAGGTCTGGTGTGACTGTCGCCCACCATGTGACCTCTTTCAGCCTTTCATAAATGGGAACAATCCCTGCATTGCTGTGAAAATGCACAGATCATGGATTTCAAAGCTACTTGCAAGTGGTAGAGTCATAAACAGTAGAAGGCTGCCACAGCAACTGCTATTACTTTAACTCCAGACGGTATCAGGTTTGGACAATATCTGATCACCTCCAAGTATTTCACATGACCAAGAGCTATTATACCCCAAGATCTGATCACTCCTGAGGTTTGGCTCTTGGTCCACACAATGTGTGCTGCGTTGGTCTATACATACATTTGTTAATATGAACGGAGCACGATTCACACCCTTGCTGGTAGGAAAGATACTCCAACCCAGCCTTCCTGATTTAGAATTTATTACTCAGCTGGGCTGTTTGAAGTGTTAACTGATCCCCCTGTGATTCAGGCTGCAGTTGGAGCCCATGCAAGGGGAAGAGATTGGGGGTGGAGGGAGGTCACTCGGAGCAGGCCCCTGGAAGACTGGAAGATCCAGCTACTTGACAAGTTCATTTCGTACTTGACAAGTTTCATTTTCATTTCAACATACAGCACCTGTTCAGTGGGAAAGAGACAATAGACATGCTTTTGTATTTCTTTTGAAAAGGTAATAATTGTCAAAGTTACAGATGGAAGTCATCTCTCCCATCTTTGTGTTCCTATCCCCTGAGGAACCCCACTACCAATTTCTACCATGTTCTTCCAGAGAGAAACCATGCCGACACCAGCATATATAGGGTGTCGCTTCCTGCCTTCATTTTTTTGCACCCATGATAGCAAGCTAAGAACATCGCGGGGCAGCTTGCTTTCTTCCATTTAATAATGGATCCTGACGATCATTTCATATTAGTGTTTTAAAAAAGATCTACTTCCTTTTTTGGCTTGATTGTAGTTGGTTTAACCAGTTCTCTGTTGAGCATTTAAAGTATTTCTAATTTAGTGCTGTGCTAGTCTGCGGGGAGCATCTTTGTGCAAGCGTCATTTTGCACGTGTGTGATGGATGTGTGGGAAAACTACCTCCCAAGGGCAGTCGCTCGGTTAAAGGGTGAATGCATTTAAAATTTTGATGGCCATTGCCACATTCCCTTTCATGAAATTTTATCAGTTTTATATTCCCACAGAGATGAATAAGAAATGCTTGTTTCCTCACACCTCCACCAGCATGCATGGCCTTAAACTTTTTTGATCTTTGCTAACCTGGTGTTTCTTTGGAGTTTTAATTGCCAACTTTCTCTCTTGGTTAAGAGTCGCTTGTGTTTCCTCTCCAAAGAACTGCCTATTGTGTTGTTAATTTTTTTCTTCTTGATTTATGTGGGTATGCTTGTTTTCCCTCACTTTGCCTCACAATACCCTGGGGTCTTCTTGGGCTCCAACCTCCCTTCGGCAGCCTGGTTGGAGGAGAAAGCCCACTGGAGTAGAGTTGGGATCCAGACTCTGGTCCTGCTACTTTCCCACTGTGTGACCTTGACCGAGTCGCTTAAACTCTCTGAGTGGCTGTTTCTTAGTCTGTAAGGGAGGATGTTAGTTGTACAACAGGGTTGTTGGATGGATGAGATAATCAATGTAAAAGTGTTTCATAAACCATGGAAAGCCATAAAAACACAATCCTGTGTTAATATTCACTTAGTTTCAAGTGAGTGATAAAAGAGTTTAGATTCCTAAAACTTTAGAGGCGAGTCGTCTGGTTAAACAGGTGGGGAAGGGAGGGCCGGGGAGAATGGACCGGCCAGAGTCAGAAGGCAGAGGTGGGCCTGACTGGGAGTGGGGTCCCGGGTTGTCTTGCAGTACGAGGAGCCACGGGCAATATGTGGTTTATTCAAGAGCATTCTGATTTTTATAATAAATTATCCTGACTTCCGTGGGAATGCAGTGTGGCTGAACCTGAAGAGGCTATACTTGAGAACTGAAAAATACCTAGATCGGACCCAGGTTCTGCCAGCTCTTCGCTGCAGCCCCTACACCAGGTGACTTCACCTTTTTGGGGCCGCCGTTAACTTTCTCTGCAGAGGGATTACTGAGACTGCGGTGGTAGAGCCCTGCCCATCTGGCGCATGATGGGACTTGGTAAATGGTGTCATTATCGTTGTTTGGCTTTGCAGGAGGCGAGGCGGCCAGGGAATCGGGGCCAGGCTCTGACGCCGGACACCCGTGGTTCAAGGCCTTGCTCTGCCCTGCCTTGCTGGTGGGGCCTCTTACTTCACCTCTCTGAGGTAATCATCGGAGTCCTTAGCTGCAAAGCTTTGATTTGAAGAATTTGTGGACATTTGAATACAAAGTGCTTATCACGTAGGAGGCATTTATAAATCAGTTACGAAAAAAGGACTTACTGAAGTGCCTGGATGTGGCGGGCACTGGCCCAGATGTTGGGATCAGAGCAGGAAAGAAGCAGGGTCACTGCCCTCCGGGAGCTTGTGTCCCAGATTCTTGCTTATGCTGATTGTTGTTCTCGGTCGTAGTAACAACAGCACAGTCTGGTCAGTGTCCATAGACTCTGCCTGGCCTCTGTCTAGGAGCTCTAGGACACATGCTGTGAGGGGATCCGGGGATTTTCCCTGCTCCTGTAGACTCTGCGGATGACTTACTTCCTGTGAGATGCTCTTTTTCCATAACTTTAGGGAACTTGACTCAGCCTGCCACCCTCATCCCCTCACAAGGGCTGGGGGCTGAAGCCCTGTGGTCCAGTGGCTTGTTTGACGTCCCACCAACCCTGGCTTCCTGACCCCTCAGCCTGGGTCTCTGCTCCATTCATCGTTGGGCCATGGGAATCTTCCCTCTCATCCAGCCCCTATTTAAGTACATTTCCTGCGTGCCGGCCACCGGGCTTGGGTCTGGGGACACAGCAGCGAGCTCAGTCCTGCCCACCGGGAGCTGGCATAGGGTGGCAAGAAACAAACGAGGTGATTTCAGCTCGCTATGAGCCCCGAGAAGAGAAGCAGTAAGGCAAGGACATCCAGTGGGGGTGTGTGAGCTACGGTGGAAAGGGTAGTCTCGAAGCTCCTCTGCAGTGACATTCATGCCGAGGCTGAGAAATCAGAAAGAAAGCAGGTTTCTGGGAAAAAAGATGTTCTAGGCAGTGGGGTCAGCAAGGGCTTGTCAGTCCCAGAATGCACCCACTGCCGGTGCAAACAGTCTCCAAGGGGAGGTCGTATAAAGAGAACTGGCGTGTTTGAGCATCTTTTCAGAGCAGGCGGTGAGGCTGATTTATACCAGAGGGGATGGCCACGTCCGGCTGGGTGCGGTGAGTGAGCAAATGCATTTTAGACTGTGGTCGAGCCTCAGTATTTGTTTGGAACCAGTAGAATCCGCAAGGCCTTTGGAAGTGGCAGAATCGAGGCAATCCTGGATTCAGAGCAGCCCTGGCAGGCCCTCCTAACAGACAAGGACTTCCTCACCGGCTCCCCACCTAATGGTGTCAGCACCCACAGCCACCGTCGGCAAAGTCAATTTCCACTCTTGGATCTGCGATTTAACGCCCGGCTGCGCAGAGAGCTGAGGTCGGGGAGCTAATTGGGTTGCTTCCTAAGAGGGAGGTTCCTAGAATTGGAATATCTGGGGCCAGGGTAGGGTCACGGTGCAGAGAAACCAGGAGGGCTAGACCGGGGGCTGGGCTGGCCGGAGCCACTGGTAACAGAGCCAAAGTGACAGGGAATAAATACCATGGAGGCTCTGGACTCCCCAGGGACGCCGCTGCTCTGGGAGGGCGTCCTGGTTCCCTGGGAGTTTATGTTCTAGACAAAGGCCAGGTGGGCAGCTTGGGGTATTTTCTGTCCTGGATTAATCTCTCCTAGCAACAGCCTGGGTGGTGGGGACCTCTTTTCCTTCTCGCCCCCTTAGACCATGACCCTCATCCCCCATCCTACACGTGTACCCTCTGTGGTCATCACCAGCTACTGTCGGGGACAGAGCTGCTGCATAATGGCCATGTGAGGGTACAGCCCATGGTAAGGCTGAAGGTCACTCAGCCAGCTCCTGGCTATATCTCTGTGGGTGGACTCTGTCTGGCCAGGTAATCCTGCCCTTGTTCTAGGTCAAAATTCACTTATTCATCCATTCACTCATCCACCTAATCAGTCATGCATTTGTTCCTTTGTTTATTTATTCATTATGGAGCCATAGTCCACGTCAGGCTCTGCGTTGGGTGCTAGGGGCACAGTCTCAACAGGACAGACTCCCCACTGTCTTAGAGCTTAGAGTCCACGGGGATGAGAAGGAAGCCGACCCGTGCATTGCACACATCCTCAGCATCATTATGATGACACTTGTCACTGAAGCTGCATGTCAGTTACTCTTGTGAAATATACCTCCAAAGACAAGCAGTGGGACCTTGCCGGGGGATCTGAATCCATGTGGGATCTTCCTGTGTGCCTATGCCCGGGGCAGGTGCTGCCTTTTGGGAGCTCATTGCCGTGAGGTTCCAAGATGACCACAGGCCGGTTCTGCCCATGGAGTTGGGCCTTCCTTCCAGGTTCAACGGTGTCTTGTGTTTCTACTATGAGTTTATATCCTGCTTTAAAAAAAAAATTCACCAACTATTTAAGAATTATACATTTTTTTGCATTTGACTTCTAGTTTTTACCCAAAGCAGATATAATTAATTTAAAGAATTGGCCATTAATTTTATACATTCACAGTTCCTTTGGGTTCACATAAGGGTGACTTTTCCTGCTTTGTTTTTAATTTTATTTATTTATTTTTAAGGTATTTTATTTGTTTATTTGTCAGAGAAAGAGACTCACACAAGCAGGGGGAACAGCAGACAGAGGGAGAAGCAGGCTCCCCGCTGAGCAAGGAGCCCCATGCAGGACTCGATCTCAGGACCCCAGGATCATGACCTGAGCCAAAGGCAGATGCTTAACTGACTGAGCCACCCAGGAGTCCCTCCTGCTTTGTTTTTTAAATATAAAATAAAAATTTATGTAAACCTTTTTATTACAAAGGAATAAAATCTTTATTGAAGAAAATTACAGAAATAGACACACCCTCCAAAAGGAAATAGAAACCCTGCCTAATTTCACTGTCTAGAAGTGACCACCATGAACATTTCTTTTTTCTTTCTTCCCCTATACATTTTTCCTTTAAAAAAAAAAATCAGGTCCTACTGTCTTTGTGACTTTTTCACTTAGCATTATATTGGATAATGTATTTTCATTAAGGTCTTATTAATCTTTATGAAGGTTTATAGAAGGTGTTTTCCATGGCCTTAAATTTTTTAACTCACCGTTTTGATGACAGCAGGGTAACGTTCCCCATGGATGTAGCTCGAGATTCTGTTTTGCGGCTTGTCCTCTCTTAGAGAGCCAGTTAGGTTTTATTCACAACTTCAGGCAGGTGATTGAGTTCTGTTTGTCTCTTTTGTTTCTTTGTCAAAGGGAAAAACAGCTGCCTCTCCCTGTTGGTGGCCGTGTCCTGGTGCCCGGTGTATGCCTGAGCACAGCTGCTACGGGGAGCGGGCAAGGAGGGAGGAGGCCTTGGTGGCCAGGAGCTGGACATGGAGAGTGAAGTCACCTGCCCTGAACGGCTGCTGAGCAGAGTTGAACTTGAGCAGCATAGAAAGGGAAGTTCAGTGTAAGGATGGAGCTCCCGCTCCTCCCCTTGCCCTCACAAACTAGAGGAAGTGCATTTGGTTAAGAATAACCCACATCCGCCACCAGGCATGCTTCCAGCAGCAGTGTGGGGAGATGCTAGGCTGCTCCTTGGGAACTGGTGAAGGGCCTGGCCTTGCAGGAGCCCCCCAAAGCCAGGGCCACCCACACCAGCCCCGCATGTTGAGGCTCCAAGAGACTGAGCTGTCTGAGTCAGGCAGTAGGTTAGTAGCAGAGCTGGGATTTGAACCCAGGAGTTTCCTACCATATCTTCCATTTTAGGCTCCTCCATCCGCTGGGACGGCGCATCTATTACATGCAAGGAGCTGTGGGGGGACAAAGAACTGGCACACACACCACGCTAGAGAGGCTGCCACGGTCAGGGACCCAGTAGGGGTATCCACTGGTTCACTGCTTCAGCATAAGCCGTGCCAGGCCCTGTGCTCAGCTCCCTGGACATAGCTGTGAGCAAGCGGACCGCATTGACCAGCAAGCTGCAGACTGTTGGCTGGTCGAGGCTGATGAGCCCAGTGAGGGAAAGAGCACAGTGTAGATGGCAGAAGGCTCTGGGCTGCAATCCCTGGGAAGACTTGCTGGAGGTGGAACTTAAGCTTGGGGTACCCTAACAGTGGAGCCCTAGCAGCCAGAGGAGGGCCTTGGCATTGAATGCCAGCCAGTGGTAGCTGGGTTGGAAGATGCTGCCAATGGACTTTGCTGTGTGACCTTAGGCAAGTTGCCTGGCCTTTCTGAGCCTTCTACCCTGGTTTCAAAAGGGTGCAAGGATGAAATGATAATAAATGGACCCAATGTATCTGCAGCAGCCGTGGTCATCTCCAGCTTCGTGGCCATTGTCTGTCATGGCCATGGCAGCAAGGGTACAGAATGGACCTACCACACAAGTAAGAGAGGGACCGAGGCCTGCTCCGCCTGGTTGCCCCTTGCCATGAGGAGCAGTGGAGTCATTTCGGGAATTTGCCCTGAGGTACAAGAGGATTCCATTTGACCTGGTCCCACAGTGCGCACTGAGCATTCCAGGAGATCCTGAAAGCCCATCCTTGAAGTAAAGGTGAAAGAAGAGGCTCATGCCCTGAACTGGGGGGCGGGTAGGGAGAAGCTTCTGGAGCTGGGCATTCTTCCCACTGCTCTGGTTATTAAAGCAGCTCAGGGCATCTGGGTGAATTTGTTAGGGACCGATGCTGGCGGGGCGTCCAGCCCACCCTCACGCTCCACAGCACTGCTCTGGTCTGTGGGCCTGGGAGGGACTGCTCGGGGTCCAATCCTGCTTCTGTGGCTCACGAACTCGACAGGCTGTGGGTCCCCACTGGCCTCTCACGTTATCCTGGGGACAGCGGCGGACACATGCCAGTGGTACCATCCTCGTCAGGGCACGGTGAAGCTCAGAGATAACATACGCTTAAAGAACAGAGCTCAGTGTCTGCCCCCATGAGCACTCGGGTTTGCTCACACAACGAGGATTTCTGCCTCTACCCTGCTGCTCCCTCCCTAGCTCAGTCTGCCTCACATCCTGACTCTGGCCAGACCCTTGTCCTCCCTGGGTTCCCATGAGGACTTCTGTGAGCGGGGGGCGCCAGGGTAAAAGGCAGGGGCAGTGACAACCCTGGGCAGTGGGGTGACTTATGCCTGGAGGCCCCGGTGGTGGCCCCTGCACGCATCCCTTTGGACCCTGGCCCGACTCACCAACAGAGGCGGCTTCCCTGCCTTCCCAGGCCCCAGGCTTCGCTTTTGTCCTGAGGAAGAATCCAAGGCTCTCAGGAATGGAAGAGATTTGATTTGATTGGACTGACTGACTGATTTTAAAGACTTTTATTTGACAAGAGAGAGAGAAAGCCAATGCGTGAGCAGGGGAGGGTGGGGAGGAACAGAGGGAGAGGGAGAAGCAGACTCCCCGCTGATGAGGGAGCCAGACATGGTGACAGGGGGCTCTGTCCCAGGACCCTGAGATGACCTGAGCTGAAGGCAGACGCTTAACCAGCTGAGCCACCCAGGCGCCCCAATGGGTGAGATTTTAGAGGGCATCTTACCCAGCATCCTCCCAGGCAGGGCTTGGATCTTCTGCCTGCTGCTTGCACATGTGGAAGGACGGGTGCTTATTGTCTTCGGGGGCCCCTTTTTTGTTTGGGGGACAGTGTTGGTGATGTGTGGGTGGGCCCTGGAGCCGAATCTATTTCTTTTGTCCTCTGTCTCTCCCCGTGGACTCTCCCCCAAGCCCCTGGGGTTGCTCTGAGAGGTGGACTGCCTTCTGGCCCTCCCTCTCCCTGGCCCTGCAGCCTCTCCCCCCCCCCCCCCCCCCCCTTGGCCCTCGTCCTGCAGTTCCCTTGGGTTCTTGGGGGGAGCACAGTGGAGTTGAGAGCTCCGTGTGGCCCCAGGTCCTGGGGTGACTCTTGAACTTTGCCTTTTTTCTTCTATTAAAGATAACTCACTTTGGCTCTTACGTTGACTGGAAGGCCTCGAACACTTCGTGTGATTCTCTTTTCTTGTGGCAGGGGATGTTGGTCATGAAGGGTGGAGTTCAGGGAGAGGGGAGGGTGCTTTAAGTCTCTTCTTGAGGCCCATTGTGCTTTGGGTCCTGAGTATGAGGATTCTGAGTGTGTGAGTGAGAACCAGAAGGCTTTCAGAGACTACGCCTGGGGCTTTTTTGGCCGGGGCCCCCCTTCGTCCTTTATATGAGAAAGTCAAAACACAGAAAGGTTGGCATGTGATTTCATGGACCCTGAATGCCACATACAGGCCTGAACTAAGAGCTTCTGTTTGAGTCCTTCCACCTTCATTGGTGCAGACAGGGAAACTGAAGTCCAGAGAAGCACCCCCACACTTCCACTTACTGGTCAGCTGGCAGAGGGGACCAGGGTGGGAGGAAGCACTAGGGGCCAGGGGAGTGGGGATCGGGAGCGGAGTGGCAGTGGGGGGCTCAGCTGGACGCAGGGCCGGCGGGACGTGCACACACAGGAGCAGGGTTTGTGGGGAGACGAGCGAGGAGGGAGGACCCCGAGAGATGAAGGCCCTATAGAGGAGGCTGGGTCAAACATGGAAGCTGGAGAGGGCTGGTGGGAATGCGCTAGAGATGTGGAACCTGTGAATTCGTGGTGGAATCAAGACGGGCTCCTGTTCAAGGGTGATGTGATCCTTGGCCAGTAAAGGTGGGCCAGGCCCAGGGAGACCAGGCGTTGGGTTGCAAAGACCTCACATGCTACTGGTCAGAATTTTCCAGGGGAGGAACCGAGGCCAGCAAGGGCAGGAGGCCGGGACATGCATGTGAACGAGTGAACTCAGAGTCTGAAAGTGTGGCATGGGTGGTCAGCTTGGTGATTTGGGTGGCAAGTGAATCGAGTTATTTTAATAGGTACTTAAGTGCTCATTTGAGAAAATATAGCCCGTGCATATAACATATTGCTAAGGATAAACCTAAGGAGGAAACAAATGAGTGGATTTAAAGACAAACAAGGTAAGAAATAGTAGAGAGGTACAAAGATAAGGTGAGACTCAGGCAGCTGGTGTGGGAACCTAGCTCTCTAGGCTGCACTGCACTAATGACCGGCAGATTTGACTCAGGCTGACCTCTGAGCCCTGAGGGTGGGCTCCTCTTAGGGCAGAGGGTACAGTCTACGCACTCAGGCCCCTCCTTCCTTTCTGGGTGGGCTGCTTCCCAAGGATGGTGCAGAGAAGGAGGGACTGGGCAGATTGGAGCTACTTAGGGGCTTTCCTCCGGGACCTGAGCTTAGGCCACTTCCAGTCCGATGGTGCACAATGGGCTCAGACCAAAGATGTGGGGGCTGGGGTCTAGGCTAGGATGCCCTTAGCTCTGTGACTGAGAAGATGGGAAGGACAGTGCCGTACCCGCTGCTGATCTGTGCCATATGGTGGCTGGAAGAGCTGCCTAGAGCCTGTCCAGTGATGGGCTCAGGTCAGTCTCCGCTGTCTGGCATGGAGGGCACATGCTGTGCATGTGGTAGCCCAGGCACGTGAGGCTGCCACTGGACAGATAGCTTGAGAAAGTGGAGCTGCTCTGCCCTGGGAGGTCCGGTTGGTTCAGGGCGTTAATTAATGAATGAATTAATTTTTAAAAAGAGTGTGCCTGCACACACAGAAGGAAAGGGAGAAGCAGACTCCCCCTTCCCCCTACCCCTAGCAGGAAGCCTCATGCCTGGCTGGATCTCAGAACCCTGAGATCTTGACCTGAGCCTGAGCCAAAGGTAGAAGCTTAACCAACTAAGCCACCCAGGAGCCCCCAGGTTTTTTTTTTTTTAATTAAAAAAAAATATTTATTATAATTATATTTTGTTTTTGGCTTGAAAGGGGTTGGCTGAAAGAAGATCAGCTAGAAAACCTAAATTCATAGGGTTACAGGGTAACCAAGAAGGATGGGCTAAGGTATCTTTCCCAGGTTAACTACAGAATACCAGACCTGGCAGAAACTTAACGATCCACTAGTCTGTATACTGAAAGGTACCACTTTATTAAGCTCTTCCTTAATAGGCCAGAAACAGTTTGAGTCCAGTTTCCTTCAGACTTGGCTCTAACACCCCCGAGAGAGGCCTTGCCGGGCCGTCCCTATGCACCCCTGACTCAGCCACATCACCCTGCTGGTCTCCTTCACTGCTTCAGGATGATGTCTAACTCACTTAACGCATTCACTGCTTATTATGTCTCCCCCCACCGGAAGGGTGGCTTCAGGGGGTGCTGGGGGAGGGGGCATGAGAAAGTGCGGGGCGGGGAGCGGGGGCGGTGTTGCTGAATGGTGGACTCACGTTACTGATAGCCAGAATGCAGGCGAGGGAGTTTCCCTCCAGGATCTGATAGAAGGTAACCAAGTCAAATCTCGATTCAAGAGGTAGGGAGGTATTAAGGGCATTCCCTGAGATAATCCAGAAATTTCTTTTTAAGGCAAAGGAATCCTCTGCACAGAAAGGAGGGAAGAGCTTGCTTTTTCCACCTCTATTGATTAAATTAAGAGAAGACCTCCTTTGGACTAGGGAAGGACAGATATGGGAAGCCTCACATCAGCCTGGTCTGTGGTGCTTCCCTTCTGGAAGGCACTGAGGCAGCCCACCGGCATC